AATGACATGAAAATAAAATGATTATTCATGTGATGTCCCATTTGATTATTGGATTTTTCGGATATTATTTTACTGACGATTATTGTTTATTTTGAATTAATTGCCTAATTGATAATATTGCTTGATATATATATATATATATATGAAGAAGTGTGTTCTTGAATGGAAGACATGTGTCCAGTTTAGTGGTCTTCAAAAATTGATACGTGTCCAGCTATATTTACAATTTCTCTCCTTTTGAACCGACTAAACGGCTCTACCTTTTAGGGTTCGTATAGTATGGTCATGGTCATTTGTTTCTTGATCGTGAAGTTTTGCAGAACACTGACTTTTGTTCTGACTTGACCGACCAATCACTTCCCAACAAATCATCCCACACACGCGACAATCTCTTATCAGATTTTTTGCTTTACGACAGTGGGCAGACTTCTCTTTCCCTTTTCTTCACTCATTTTCCAACCTTCTCTTTTCGCAGCAAAAAATCTCCCAAATTCCATTTCCAGTTTCTTCTAATTACTTCCCATTTTCTTGTTTCAAATCTCTTCCACATCTATCATACATGTCCAACATCTTCCAGCGGCATTTGGCGGCCTGGAGAGGTCCCACGGCTCGAATAGTCGTTCACCCCGATGACAAGGAGACTCGTCGACAGTACCGGGAAATATGGTCAAGGTAGCTTAGCAACGGTGCAAAATAGAAATGTGTCGTTTCCAACAACTGAGACATAGTGTTCGCCGGGAGTCTCGTGGAGTCGCAGCGTGTACGAGAAGATTCTAAAGCTCGAGGATTGCACCAACAGGCTCGTGCTCCAGGATGAGATTGAAAAAATCGACGCCTCAAAATGAGAGCGACGGTTAGATCCTTGCATTGTTACCATTTATAATTTTTGCATCGTGTGGTTTGTTTTGGCATAGTTTTTGTATCACACCCTTCGATTTTGCTATTTTTCTCATGTTTTTCTTTTGGATTTGTTTTGTGAAACCACTTTTGTACTATCTGCATGCAGGGGCGGAGCCACCCATGGGCTAGGGTGGGCTCCAGCCCCAGGTAAAATAAAAAAAAAAAAAAATTATATAGTAGTAGTTTGGTTGTATAACCCCATATCATTTAGCAACTTAGCCCAACAACATACCCAAACAAAATTACAAACCAATTTGAAGTGAATAAGATTCACCCGGGCTCCTTCAACTCGAACCGGCCTCCGTACCTGCAGAACCCAACGCCGGGGGTGGCCCCGGCGTCGGGCCTCCGATGCTTAAGTCAGTGCTCGGATCA